ATGAATCTGACCCTGCTAAATGGTTTGCTGAGGAGTTAACGCAAATTGCAGAGAAAATGAATAAAGTTTTTAAAAATCCGTTACCGATGACTGCATTAACTCCTCAAGAAATCAATGATTTTAAGCGAGCGACAGTCTGTCACATTTGTCATCAGAAAATACCGGCAAGCGAAAAGAAAGTCCGCGATCACTGTCACCTTACTGGCAAATATAGGGGAGCTGCCCATGAATCATGCAATTTAAACTATCAAGGTTGTCAAACGATCCCCGTAGTCTTCCACAATTTAAGCGGTTACGACGCCCATTTTATAATTCACGCGATCTCGACGAGCTTTGAAGGGAAAATTGACCTCCTCCCCATTAAAAAAATAAGGATATCTCTTTTACTAAACATGTTAATGGGAGTGAGGTCAAATTCAGATTCATTAAATCATTGCGATTCATGGCAGCATCCCTAGAAAAACTCGCATCGTATTTAGACGAATATAAAATTGTAAACTCCGCTTTTGCCAGTACGGTGACAGATCCGGATAAAATTAAATTATTGACGCGCAAGGGTGTTTTCTCCTATGAGTACTTTGACTCAAAAAGCAAGCTCGACGAAACCGAATTACCCCCCAATAGAGAAATTTTATAGTACGCTTTATAATGCCGGTATGTCTGATAATGAGTATACACATGCGCAGAATGTATGGACCGAGTTAAACTGTCAAAATCTCTACGACTATATACATTTGTATATGAAAACAGATGTATTGTTACTTGCGGATGTCTTTGAAAATTTTCGAGAAGATTGTGTAAAAGCGTACGGGTTAGAACCTGCTCACTATTATACGACCCCCGGTTTAACTTGGGATGCTATGCTCAAGTACACGAGCATAGGATTGCAACTAATAACCGATATCGATATGATTATGTTTGTTGAGTCTGGTATTAGAGGTGGCATAAGTCAATGCTGCAACCGATATACTATAGCGAATAATCCATATATGGAAAATTTCGATGATAGCAAAGATACAAGCGACATCATGTACTTTGAAGTCAACAATTTATATGACTGGGCAATGGCTCAAGCGCTCCCTTATGGCGGCTTCAAATGGGTTGAAAATGTTGACGACTCTTTCAATTTTAATGTCTCTGACGATTCACCTGTTGGATACATACTCGAAGTTGACTTGGAGTATCCTGAAAGTATTCACGATACCCACAAAGACATGTCATTTTGCGCAGAAAATGCGAAACCCCCCTTTCGAAACAGGAGAATTTATTAACAACACTCTTACCCAAAGAAAAATATGTTATCCACTATCGAACGTTGAAACAAGTTGTTGCTAATGGCATTAAACTTGTTAAAATCCACCGAGTCTTACAGTTTAAGCAATCAACATGGCTTAAACCATACATCGACTACAACACGATGATGCGAACCAATGCTAAGAATGAATTCGAGAAAAATTTGTTCAAGCTCATGAACAACGCTGTGTACGGCAAAACAATGGAAAATGTCCGTAAACATTAGCCTGGTCATTTTTGTAAAATTATTTAATATCAATGAGTGCCGGGCTGAAAAAGTTTCCTTTTCATCTAAAAAAACAAATACAAAAATAATATAGTGAATGTGTGAATAATTAATGGACCCAAAAACTGATTGAATGGGAAAAAAGAGATTTTATTGAATTTTTACAGTAATTTTCAATGTTTCTTTAAAAAAATGGTTCTTTTCTGTGTAGCTATACCAAAAATATAATATATATTTATATATTATATATATATAAGAGACTTTTTTCCCTAAAACTTGTTTTTTTAAATTAAAAAATTGTTGAAGATACGCCATTTTGAATTTTAATATTAATTTTATAAAATTTTGAATATCTTGGAATATTGTTTGTGGATTCTTATGAAATTTACACATTATTCAGGTGAAAATTTGTAATTTAAAATAAAAATAAAGTTAATAAAAAAAATTAATTTTTAAATAAAAAATTTTAGGTATATCTCCGGCTGCTACTCTTGATAAAATTGATTTTTAATAGATTTTCTTTAAATTTTGAGAAAATGTTTCTTTGTAAATATTTAAATATTTAAAAACTCTTTGCCATGTCAAAAAACAAGATATTGTGGTTGACATTTCTTATTTTTAACATAATCGCATGTAAAAGTTAAAGTTTGAACTTCTATATCTCAAAATTTAGCATCGCAAAAGGGTTTTTAAATTTTTACCACATTTAAAGGGCACCCGAAGAGATATTTTCTCAAAATTCAAAGAAATTCTATGAAAAAACAATTTTTTCAAGAGTAGCAGCCGAAGGATTCGAATTTTTTTAGCATCGACAAAGATTTTCTATGGTAAAATGCAGCGAAAATTTCTGTAGAGCCTTAACAATTTCCAAAATTGATAAAGAAATTGTCGTTTATCATCAATTTTTAAAAAATTTAGGAACCGTTTGTACCACAGGCCGACAGTATTTACTAAACAAGAATCAAGCAATATTTTTCCGAAAGTTTTCAACGTGATAATTCCTAATCCAGCGTCATAATAGACCCTGCACGTCAGGTTTTCGAGGTATTTTAACTTAAAAGTGCAAAAGACCAGTTTTTTAACATCCAAAGATAATTGCTTTGACAAAAGTTAAATATTTAATCTGAAGACGCTACTTTTCTTCTTTAAATTCATTTTGAAAATTTTAAATAATTCCATTTTCCTCTGAGTAATCGTTCATTCTGTTTACTGAGTTTGGCAAATTCTTTGAAAACTGAGTAAAAACAGACAAAATTTCGATAATGAAGAAGAATATTACTACAAACCAGAATATAAATTTCAAATACTTTTGCGTATTTTCGGTACAACTAATTGCGAATACGATGTCAGATTTACCAAATCGTCTGCCATATACGATCCGCTATTTTGAATTTTAGAAATCTGACATAGAATTTGTATCCAGTTATACCGAAAATCTGCATAACCATTTGAAATTTAGATGCTTGTAGTTAAATTCTTCTATATTATCGAAGTATTGTCTATTTCTCCTCAATTTTTGTAGAATTTGCCCAAATCACTAACAAATGAAGATTTTTAAAATTTCCGAAATGAAAAAAATTAAAAAACTGTGTTTATTTAAAATTTCATGTACCGATTTTTTCTTTTTTGTCTTAAAATTATTGTATAGCTTTACCGAAACGATACTAAAAGAAATTGGATAGGCAAGAACTTTTGGCTTTTTATTCGAAGCTCACCTTGTTGCTGCAGCTAGTCTTTTTCTACAAAAACTTCAATATCTCCGGAACCAGATGAGTCTTCATCAATTTTGTTTTATAAAATTAAAGGTGAATTCATAAGGATTCCAAATATGCTACTAACATTTTTCTCAGAGAGGAGTAAATAATGAAAAATAAATTTTTTTTAAATTTTTTTATTTACATTATTTTTATTTTAAAGTACACATTTTTACCTGAAAAATGTGGACACTTCATAAAAATCCATAAACAATAGTCCGAGATATTCAAAACTTTATGAAATTAATATTAAAATTCAAAATGTCAATAAAATCTCTTTTTCTATAATATTATTAAGTTTTTGGGTCTATTAATTATTTATAGATCAACTTAAGTATTTTCGTATTTGTCTCTCTAGGTAAAAAGGAAACTTTTTCTGCCCGGCGCTCAATGATATCACCAGATTAAAAAATATCTTAACAAATCGCGGCCAGGCTAGTAAACATGTCGACATTAAACTTGTCACCCAATGGTTTGGCCGCTATGGAGCTGAAGCCCTTAATTCTCGACCCAACTTTCATAGTCAAGCGATATTCGACGAAAATCTGGTTGCCATTGAACTGCGTAAAACCGAGGTACTACTCAACAAACCGATCTATGTGGGTTTGAGTGTGTTTGATGTATCCAAAACGCTTATTTACGATTTTCACTACGGGTATATGTTAAAAAAATACGGCGACAATTGTAAACTGATGTATACCGATACAGACAGTCTAATCTACGAAATTAAATGTAAAGATGTCTACAATGACATAAAAAATGGCATCCAAAAGTTTGATACGTCAGACTATCCCGCAAACAACGTGTACGGCATTCCGCAAGTCAACAAAAAGATCTTCGGTCTAATGAAAGATGAGTGTAACGGCAAGATCGTTACCGAATTTGTTGGCTTGCGGAGTAAGATGTACAGCGTACGGGTTAAAAATAAAGACTTTATTAAAAAAGCTAAAGGTATTAAATCCGGCGTTGTAAAAAAGTCGATTCATTTTGATGATTATGTAAAATGTCTGCGAGATTTTGACATTCAAACTCGAACACAGTAAAATATAAGATCGCGACTACACAACCTCGAGACTGTAAAACAAATTAAAGTAGCTTTAAGTCCGCAAGACGACAAACGGTATTTGTCACCAGGGAGTACTGACACTCTACCGTGGGGACATTATGCGGTCCCCACAATCGACGAATGATTTGGTAAAACATGATTGTAAAAAAAATAAAATGTTTGTTAATAAATAATACAATTATATTTAATTTCCATGTGTTTTTTATTTTAAAAATCCTTACATATATACACATAATAACATATGCTTAAAACTTATATTAATGTAATATAATTTAAATGTGCAAATCGCCCCCAGCAACTTAACGCAAATGCTAATCAACCAGCAAAGCAATCAAAGATTAATGTTAGCGTAGAATCTCTTTATGAATCAAAACTTCTTCCAACAGCAGACCTTTACAATGCCAGTGCCAACTGATTTAATATTGATTCATTATTGATTCATTAATAATTTATTATTGATTCATTATTGATTTATTATTGATTCATTATTGATTCATTATTGATATAATGTTAATTAAATTTGTCACTGGCAGTGTAAAGGTCTGTTGTTGGAAGCAGTTTTGATTTATAGAGAGGTTCTACGCTAACATTAATCTTTGATTGATTTGCTGGTTGATTGACATTTGCGTTAAGTTACTGGGGACGATTTGCGAATAATAGATTATACATTTGCTTTATCTTCCCAAGTATTGTAAGAATTATCAAAGCCAAGCCATTTAACAAGAACTTTGTTTCCACGTGCCTTCAGAATTTTTTCCACAAGATAAATGTCTGAATATTTTACTTTAAGAAGTTCCTCTTCATAGAATCCTCCGCTGATGGGTTGATCCTGGTAATCATTGAGCTTGTAAGTCACTGGTTGAGTTGATACAACTTGATCCACGGTGAATATTTCTGTTGTCCAATTGGGTGTGTATCCTTTCTCGAAAACGTTTTTATATTTGCTCACTCGAACTTTGTCACCAATTTTATACTTTGGTTGTCTTAAAGGAATTTTTCTCAGTTTAGAGATCCTTTCTTTTAAAATTTTAATGACTTCTGTAGTAACATCTTTAGGCTTCATTCCAATTGTTCTATGTTTTGCATCATTATAGTTGGAAATAAGAGTAGGCAATATATCATACCGCTTGTAATTTCCTCGTAAACTTAATTGCATCCACATTTTTCTTTTTAATTTTCGATTAAACCGTTCAACAATGAAAGCTTTCATATTACTGTATGTTGAATAAAAATTAATTTTATGCTTCTTCATTAATGCTTCAAATTGTGAGTTATAAAATTCTTTTCCTTTGTCACTATGCAAGTTTTTTGGTATGCGTTTGTTAGCAAATATAGATTGAATTGCATGAAAAACATCTTTTCCATTTTTACTTTTTACTGGAACAGCCCAAGCATATTTCGAAAATATGTCTATAACTGTTAGTAAATACTTGAAACCTTTATTTATTTTTAAATAAGGTATCATTTCTACTAAATCTGCTTGCCATGTCTCATCAATATCACGCATTTCAACTCGCCGTCGAGGATAATTTTTTCTAGCCTGAGTATTAAGTTCATTTACTACTATTAATTTTTTTTGTTTATTCTTGAAAGCACTTAAGCGAGTATCCAATTCACTAATAATTTTAGCTGTTCCATAAGATAAGTCTTGATTTATATCTTTTTCAAAATTTTTTATTTTTTCTGTAATAGAGTCTTCAAGAACTTTTAGAAATAAGTTGTTATTGTCTACCTCTGATCTAAGTGAGGCACTAACTTCATACAATAAACGGAATTCGTGTTTTATCATATGTCGTACAAGTTTTTAATTGACAGCGTCGTTTTCTTCTTCAGCGTTAGCAAGATTAGAGAGTTTTCTTCCTTCAACGTCAAAGTTACCTTGAGAATTAAGTTTAAACCCAACTCCAGGAGGACCTCGTCTTGCTGATCCTCTTTGATTGAGAGGATGTCCGAACACATCAATGCTCATTGTTAAAATAAATGATATTTGCTCAAACACATCTTAATATATAATTTTAGCTTCACGTAATTTCTCAATGATAGACATGATTTCATTATTGTGGCTAGGATTTACAGCAGCTTGAGAAGCTATTAATAGTCTAAGACGGTCAACCAACTCATTTGAATCATCCCAAAAGATATATTCTCGTTGAAAATTTTTGTTTGTAATCATAAATTTAGGTAATGAACTACCACTTATAGATGGCTGTTTTTAAGGTGTTCGAGGAAAGAATTGAGATATAAAATTTAAATACTTGTAACTCTTATCCGAAGGTATAGATTCAGAGGAACTATACTTCTTTTTGTGTGCATTAGTAGCAATCAGAATCTCTTTATAGTTTCTTTCATCATCTTCACTTATAAGCGATGTAGTAGGTTTACTTTTAAATAAAAGTTCAAGTAATCCAAGCGTTTGAAGATATCGTTTATTACCAATTTTTACATGCTGATCTTCAAGAGTTATTAGTGAATCACCAATCATAAGTGACCCATCACTTAGCTTACGTACGCCGTATGTTAAATGTAAACATTGCTTTCTATTATGATTTAATAAGTATAGATATTTATTACTTATTTTATCATCATCTGGAGATTTTTCAGTTTCACTTTCATAGTTTATGCTATCATCTATCTTCTGCTCTTTCTTTTCAGTCTTGACATTTTAATGTTCAGTGTCTGTAAAGTTAATGATTTTTTGTAAGGGTTGAACTATCGGTTTAAAAGTTTCAGTCAGCACATTTTCAGCTTCTTCTTTTCCTAATTTTAACATACGATGTTTTTGTCTAATTGCCTCGCTAGCTTTAGCAATTTGATGAAGATATTCTTTTTCTTTATGAAACATGTTATTATTACAAGGTTTCATATTGAACAAACAATATTTTAAGAATGATCTTATTTTTATAGTGTTACAAAGCTATCAAATCATTTTCTATACCTTTCATCATTTAAATCAGAATCCTTATCAATTACTACAAATCCATATTTGTCTGAATTCCAACATGTTGAACATAGTTCTCGAAATTGATTAAATGTCATGTCAGTGTTAACATGATCATCATTAACATGCCTTAAATTTTTCTCATCTTGACGAAAAAGAACTAGTAAATTAACATTATAACGTACTAAATGTTTAGGAACGCGTCGTAGATATTCAGTGCTTCAAAAGACCTTACAACGAGTTTGTCATCAAAGAGTTGGCGATTCTACCACTTAAACAAGATGCTCATCCATTGGTCTACCTCTTCGAGCCGCCATATGCCTGGAGTCGATTACCTGCAAGATACAAATGTGAGAATCGATGGCTTATAAATAATTATCATGGTATCGGTTGGGCTGCTGGTGACATTCCTTACGAAGAGTTACAACCAATAATTAAAGAAGTATTAATAGGTACACCTACTATTTATTTAAAAGGTTTAGAAAAACAAAAATGGTTAGAAAAATATACATTAAATGTGTTTAACTTGGATGATTTTAAATGTCCGTCGCTAAAAATTTTAAATAAATAATATAGAAAATAATGATGAAGTGGACAATGATTGTACATTAAAAATTTTTTATAATGATTGTGAAAATTTTCTATTTGATAAATAAATTTATTAAATGGAATACGAATGTTTACATTAAATAACCCTCCCTTATCCTATTATCTTTATTATACATGTGTGAAACTATTAAACATGTTAAAACTAGTCTAGACTTGTCTTATGACGTCACAAAGTGGACGTGGCTCAATAAATAAAAGTGGGGGTAATGCGCATGCGTAGAGTCAGTGGTGGGGTACTGCGCATGTGTAGAATTAATGGTGGGGGTAATGCGTGATATTTGGGTATAAATAGAGGCATTTCAGCCGATTTAATCATTCTGTCTTGTGACATTACAAAGTATTATCTCTAAGAAAATATAGATCTAACCAAAATCTACGCCATTGGTCGCATGGATGCTTTCCTACATACAAAGCCGCTTTCCGAGCTGACTCCTGGATATAAGTATCCTATAACGAAGATCCAGGTTGTCAACACTGTGTATGGAGTCAAGATCGTCGTTGAGGTAGATAAAAAGTTCAATACATTCCTACCTTCAAGATTTGTACCAATGTTCACTGATGACTCGATATGCTTGGATAAGATGCAAGAAGCTATTTATTCTGGACAATTACGGCTGAAGTATATTGGTGGTCCATACAACCATATTGAATTTAAAATAAAACAAGTGTAAATATTGTATATTCAATATAATAAATGCATAAAATGTTATTAATACTGTATTTAATTAAATACCTTCATTAGTATAACGTTAGATAATAAGGTATACATTTTAAGGTTATGTTTAATAAAATAGATTTTAAGGTTATGTTTAATAAAATAGATTTTAAGATTATGTTTAACACAATAGATTTTAACAACTTTTACAAGCGCCATCTATTAAAATTTTAATAATCTCACTAGTGTAAACAATATGGCGCTATCTTTGCCCGCGAAATACAAAGTTCAAACGACTAAGTTGTGGCGCCATCTCTCGGGACAACACTCAAACCGCACTAACACTCGGTCGGTAAAACAAAATGGTTGCTCACTGTCCAAGAGGTTTGAATTTATCAAATAAATTTTTAAATTTCTTGCCAAGCAGGTTTGAATTCGCTAGTAGCGCCATCTGTCGGTGGCAGCCAGAACTAAAAAATCGGTTGATAAAACAGAGAACCCCTTCTAACCCGCTCAAAGGTTTGAAAATAAATTTTTAAATTTCCCGCCAAGGGGTTTGGAATTCGCAAGTGGCGCCATCTGTCAGTGGCAGCCGGAACTACACTCGGTCGGTAAGGTAGAACACCCCCTCTAACCCACTTGAAAGTATACTATTGAGAAATCTTCCTTACCGACTGTTGGTAACTTAGCCGAGATCAGAACCTGGGGCAGAACCGGCCTAGCTATACTACTAACATGGTTGGATTTGATCATCATATTTTTTTAGAGAAAAACTCCAAGTTTTTAAAAAGTTCGTTAAAAAAGCATGTATTTTACTCTAGCGCTCATAGTTTTTTACCTAGAGAGCTCAAAATTGGTATACTTATGTATTTCCACCTAGTGAATTGGCGTTGGGCATTTTTATTATTTATTTTCACGTGTAGATTTCAACCAACATACAGAAAAATAAAAAACTTCAATTAAAACTTCATATTTTTTTCAGCGAAAAACTCAGTCTTTAAAAATTTCGTCAAAAAAGCGTGTATTTCACCCTAAAACTCACAGTTTTTTACCTAGAGAGTTGAAAATTGGTACACTTACGTATTTTCACGTGTAGATTACAGGAAAAATATAGCGGAAATGATTAAAATTGTTCTTCATTGTGAAGAAAGCGACACAATTCTTAATCTAGTGGACTGGCATTAGAGTAAAACGGGGCGAGGCAGCCAAGACGGCACATTTTGGCTTGCGAGGCAGTTATTTGAATAGGTTTTTTCAATTTTATTATCGCGTTAGAAAGCTTGTCTTTTTGGCTAAAAAATCGCCATAAAACATTTTGACGTAGGTTGAACTTAAGAATTTCTACAACCCTTTTACCAAAGGACCACGTTTTTGGCATATTTGCAAAAACGTTAGGTGAGGCGGCCAACTATTTTAATAGTTAAAAAATATAAGTTAAAGTTAAAATTAGTGAAACATAATAAGGTAACATTTCGAATTTTTTTAAAATGATCTTACATTCGTAATCAGCGATTCCAAAAACCTCCGAGTACCGAGTTTAAGTCGAATTGAACGACTTTTTATTTTTTTTTGTCTGCCATATTGGATCCGACATTTTGAAATTTTTTAAAATGACCTGAGATTCGTATTCAGCGTCCCGAAAACCCCCCCGAGTACCGAGTTTCGTCAGATTTAAAGGAATAAAAAAATGTGTGCATCTGAAGATTAACATACTAGTCCTGTTTACTGTGATAGCAGCATATTCATCAAGCTTGTATATGAAGCAAATTCTTTCAAAAATTTTTTGAATAATTGAATGTTTTACCTCTTATCATGTACTAAAAGCACCTAAAGTTAGAGAATTTTAAATAAATTTGTATAAAGCTAGAAAAAATTTTGTGTGATTTCCAGGAAAAATTACATTTTTTTACATTTAAAATTTCAGTCGACTAGAGGCACGTGGGTCAATTTCCAATGGCAT